GGAGAGCAGGAGGTCGCTCACTGACCTTTGAACCCAACTGGGTCCCCCAAGAACAGCATCACCTTCAGGGCAAAGGAGGGAGGGTGGCCCCACTGACCAGGCAGCCACTGCCAGGGCCTGGCCTCTCCCCCGCCCCCCTCCCCGCACCCCCAGCTCGCTGGCTGCTGCGCCCCTGCAGAGATGGCCCTGGCCAGGCCCCAGTGCCATGTCCCCCATGAGGAGAATGACACGGGTCCTAGGTCCTTGGGTGGGAGCAGGATGACCCTGCCTCTGGTCACTTGTGGTGATCCCTGGGGACTTTGCCTCCCAGAATTCTATACCCAGAAACACACCCTTCAGAATGCAGGAGAAATAAAGACAGCTTGTAATAAAAATAAAAATAAGTGTCCCGCTGACTTCAAGAAATGCTAAATGAAGGCCTTCAGGCTGAAGGGTTCTTGTACCCGATGGACACTTGGAGGAAGAAAGAACATAAAAATGCTAAATAGTAGGGTAAGTAGAAAAGGTTTTGTTTCCTCTTAACTTCTTTAAAATACATGTGACTGTTTAAAGGAAGAATGTTACCTCTGCCTGTGGCATTTATGACACACACAGGGGTAATATACACGGCGTCTCCAGCCTAAGGATGTGGGAGGGGAGAGGGTCCCCATTCAGTTGCAAGGTTTCTAATGTAGTTTACATGAAATAGTAGAATTTTCACACTGAACAGGCTGTGAAGAGGCTGTGGATTTAAATCCCTGAAGCGACCACAGAAAATTAGTAGGCAAAACACTAAGAGATAAAATAAAGAGTTTAAAAATGTTATAATAATCCAAGACGAGGAAATAGAAGAGGAAAGGAAGGACAGAAGAAAAAAAAAGGAAGTAACGCTCTAGCCGGTTTGGCTCAGTGGTTGGAGCTTCGGCCATGGACTGAAGGGTCCTGGGTTCTTTTTGATCAGGGGCATGTACCTTGGTTGCAGGCTCGATCCCCGTGTGGGATGCAACCAATCAATGTGTCTTTCTCATATTGATGTTTTTCTCTCTCTGTCTCTCCCCCTCACTTCCACTCTGTCTAAAAATAAATGGAAAAAATATCATCTGGTGAGGATTAACAACAATGACAAAAAGTAAAACAGAAAACAAATAGTGAAATGGAGATCTAAATCCAACCAAATGAAAATTTCATTAAATTTTAATGGACTACAAACTCCAAAGGCAGAGATCATCAGAACTGATTAATAGCAACAAAAAAGCAAGCTATTTACCATCTACAATAGAAGCATTTAAAATATAAAGGCACAGAGAGGTAGAAAGTTAATGGATGGAAAAAGCAGTCCACACAAACCATGACCCCAGGAAGGCTGGAGTGGCTACATTAATAGCAGATAAAGTAGATTTTAAGAGAAAAAGATAAAGAGGGACATTTTGTAATGATGTCAGTGTTAGTTTACTGGAAGTGATGGCAACCAGAATGTGTGGGTGCCTAGGAAAAGATTCAAACTACATGAAGAAAATGGACAAAATTAAAGGGCGAAACAGACAACTCCAAAATCATAGTTGGTGATTTTAACTCCCCTTCCTTAGCAATTGAGAGAACAAGTAGTAAAAAAAAATCAGTAAAGAAACAAGATCTGAACAACAGTATTAATCACTTTGCCCTAATTACTCTTTCTAGAACATCACCACCAATAAATGCAAAACATTTATTTTTTTTAAGTGCACATAGTCTTGATGACAGATGACATCAAGAAACACATCTCGCCCTAACCGATTTGGCTCAGTGGATAGAGGCGTCGACCTGCGGACTCAAGGGTCCCAGGTTTGATTCCGGTCAAGGGCATGTACCTTGGTTGCGGGCACATCCCCAGTAGGGGATGTGCAGGAGGCAGCTGGTCGATGTTTCTCTCTCATCGATGTTTCTAACTCTCTATCCCTCTCCCTTCCTCTCTGTAAAAAATCAATAAAATATATTTTTTAAAAAAAAGAAAAAGAAAGAAACACATCTCAATAAATTTAAAAGGATTTAAAGCATACAGAGTATATTCTCTGATCACAATGAAATTAAGTTGCAAATTAATGACAGTAAGATAACTAGGAAAATCACGACTATCTGGAAATGAAATGATGCACTTCTACTAGTAAATAATTCGTGGGTCAAAGGAGAAATCAAAAGGGAATTTAGAAACGATTTTAAACAGAACGAGGAAGAAAATACCATATAAGATTTCTGGGGTGCAGCTAAAGCAGGATTCAGAAGGACATTCATAGCTATGACTGCATCTGTGAGAAAAAAGGAAGGTCTAAAGTTCACTGACATAAGATTCCACCTCAGCAAGGCAGAAAAATAAAAAATCAAAGTAAATGGAAAGGAGCAGGAAGGAGAGAATAAAGATAGGAGCAGAGGTAAAGAAAAGAAAAGTCCTGGATGTAATGTACAGCACAGCGACGATAGTAACACTATGCTGTATCTCTGACAGTTGCTAAGAGGGTGGATCTTAAATGTTCTCATCACAAGAAAAAAAGTAGTAACTATGTGGGTGATGGATGTTAACCAGACCTATTGTGGTGATCACAATATACACGAACATTATGTCCTACATCTGAAACTAATAATTTTATGTCAGTTACACCTCCATTAGAAAAAAAAAAAGACAAAAGTATGAAAATTACCAAAGCAGACGTTGATTTCCTGAAACCATGAACAAAACGACATAGCCTGAGTCGGCTGATGAAGAAAAGAGAGAGAGAAAAAAAAGAAAGAAAGAAAAGAGAGAGAACAACTTGCAGCGTTAAGAAGGCGGTTTCCCATCACCCGTCCCACAGGCACCGAAGGAGTCAGAGGGCAGATGGTCCCGACTTAGGATGGTTCTACTTACGGTTTCCCAACTTTATGATGGCGTGAAAGTGAAACGCATTCAGTAGGAACTGCACTTTGAATTTCTGATCTTTCCCTGGCTGGTGCTATGTGGTGTGATGTTGAGCGGCAGGGTGAGCGGAGGCTGCCGTTAGCCACGTGATCACGAAGGTAACCGCCCGTTACCGGCAGTGTGCTGTGTTGCCAGCATTTTGGGGTTTTGTGTTCTGTAAGGTGGGCTAAGCTAAGCTATGATGTTCATAGGTTAGGTGTGCTAAATGCATTTTTGATTCAACAATATTTTCAATGTATGATGGGTTTACCAGGATGAAACTCTATTGTAAATAGAGGAGCATCTCTATATTATATACAAGTGTATGTGAATGATTCAGCAACGTAGATGAAATGGATAAATTCTTCGGGAAAAAAAAAACACCCAACAACACCCAACAAATCACCAAAATTGAAACAAGAGGTAGAAAGTCCGAATACTCTGTGTCTAATAGAAGACTTACTTCAATATCCACAGACATCTAACAGAGAGACTCAGGTCCCGTGGGTCACGTCTAAGGAAGGGATGACCTGGTCTTATTTAGGCTCAGAAACAAGGGGGGTGGGGTGCCCCCTGACGCAGTTTGAGATTGGTATCCAAACCAGGCAAGGACATTAAAAACGTAAATTCCCTGACATCCTCCCCCATGAACACAGATACCACATCTCTGACACGTAGGACTTCACGAAAAGGATGAAACAAGAGTGCCGTGGGGCTCGCTCTGCTCAAGCCTGTGATCCCCATCATTGGCCCCGTGGCCCAGGCCAGCCCACAGATGTCCCCCTGGCAGCCGGGTGGGGGGAGAGGGGCCACATTGCTAAGCTGTGGAGCTGGGGGACAGTGTGCCCTGGCCCATTCAGTGCTGTCGCATGCTCTCCTTTCCCGATGGCTGCAGACTGTCCCTGTGGGACCAACATGTTCTCCAGTGAGTGGAGCTCTAGAGGCTGCCGGGTCCTGGGCAGGTTCAGACCCTCCTGTCTTAGGTAGTATGTCCCATGGGCCACTGCCCACTGGGTGCTGGAGAGGTGCTGACCTGCCCTGCGGCCCAAGCCTTCCTGGCCGCGCGTCCTGCAGGGTGAAGCGCTCAGGGCCCTCCATCACCTCCGGCCAGGCCCTCTCTTGCCTCTTTTCCTCCTTTTCCCTGAATGTTCCAGCTCAAGTCACTCTGAGCTTTGAGCCCTCAGGACAGGGGCTGAGCACAGCTCCTGGGCACAGCACAGGCTCAGACAGCAGAGGGCGCTGGAGGCCTGGGCAGCTATTCTTGCTGCAGCCGCTGGGTGGCGGTCAAAGGTGTGGAGCCCCCCGGTCCCCTCCAGTGATCTCTTCCTGGTGGAGGTGGCCCCTCTGCACCAGCCTCACGTGCCCCTGGGCTCCAGCCACGTTCTCTGCAGTGAGGTCTGCGCCAGCCTTGGGGGCCCCCGGTCAGAGCCCCTCTCCTGTGCTGGTATGACATTGGATCTCGGGGGGATTTCTGTTTTGTTCCCACTGACACAGCCCCTAGCGGAGCCCAGACCCACTAGGACCACGGGCTTCATGCACTCCCTGTCTCCGCACAACCCAGCCAGGAGCTCCCTGACCGTAGGGTTGGGCAGCCTCCTCCTTCTGTCAGGGCACAGTTTCTAGAAAGAACCAGTGAATCTGCATCTTGATGAAACTCCAACTACTGCCCGACAGCGTCCTTGGACACACACAGGGTGAGGACGTGCAGCCACGCGGGAGGAAGAAAGAGCATGGGGTACTTGCTGACTGGCTGGCCGTGGGGTCACCCCGGGGCAGCACAGGAGCCAGGGCTGGCCCTGGGCACAGGGACTCTTGGTCTCAGGACGTCGGGGGGAGGGAGTCTGATCAGTAAGTGGGTGGGGTGATCAGTAGGTATGAGAACGGGGAGTCGGTCCCTGCTGTGAGCACCGCTGTCCCCTGCAGTGTGTGGACATCCTGAGACAAGCCTTTCACCCGCGACTTCGAAGCTATCCCGCCACCGCGGTCTCACTCCGACATCTTCACTGCACGTTCCCTCAGCTGCCCTCCATGGCTCGTGATGATGGTACCTGCCTAGACTGTTGATAAGTCTTCGTGGAGAAAGCTGTGAGTCCGAAGCCACTGAGCCCCAGATGAGGGCCGGGGCGCAGTCACCTTAAAACCAGCAATTCCAGCAACTGAGCTGCCTCGGTTTCCCCAGCGAATGAGTAGGTATCTTAACTCAGAGACCCGTGAATAACTGAGGCCACTTACTGACTCCCCATTGGAGCCGTGTGCACCACGGCCCACCCATGGCGTGGAGCTCAGCAACACTGGACCGACACACTGGCCCAAGACCTGCTGGCCAGGCTCTAGCCCCAGCTCACTCCTGCCTCCGACCCACCGCCCAGCACCCCCAAACCCTGGCCGCATCATCCTAGGGCCCCACGTTTCCTTGTGAGCCACTTTGCCTAGATCCCAGCATCAGGTGCAGGACTCCCGGAGCCTGGGGGATGGGAGGTACCTGAGCAGGGGCTGCTGGGAGTACGGTGGCTGGTCTGGGCCTGGGCAGGGTGGGGCCTTCTTGGTCACCTGCTTGTAGATGTTCCTGGCGGTCACGGCGATCCACAGCATGGTGGAGAGTGTGCAGTAATGCAGCACGATGCCCACCTGAGGGGCGGGGGAGACAGGTCAGTAGCCGCCCGCCAGTGCACTGACCTCCCTGACCTCCCCACTGCACTTCCCAGCGCCGCCCAGCCCTCCCGCTCCCCTGCGTCCTCAGGAGGCAGCTCGGCAGTGACAAGAAACGAGGCTGCCGGAGGCCCCAGGGTCCTTGGTTCCAGCAACACTGCTCTTCACAGGGGTCTCTGAGCTCAAGGGAGATGCCTGGGCTGCAAAGAAGCCTTGCAGGTATGTTAGCCTAAAGCAGCTTGGCTGTCCTGCAGAGGGACCGGCTGGGAGCCCGGGGGCCTCTGGGTGTGGTCCACCTGGGGCCGGCTACCTGGGCACCTCTGAGCCGCACGCACACCATCCTGCACGTGGGGCCTGTGTGCACGGGTCCCTGTGGTGGGTGTGGCCCAGGCAGGCACTCGGAGAGCTCCAGGCGCTGGGCCCTCCGCACACAGGAGCCCACCGGGTGAGGTGGTGTGGTGCGCAGCAGGAGGCTCCCAGGTGCCGGTGTTTTTGGCACTGCCGGTGAGATCAGCACCTTCGGGGTCAGACGCTCAAGTCCGCTCCCTGTCAGTCGGAGTTGCTTGTTACTATGGAAACAGAGCCAGGTTCCTCCCATCGCCAGCACTTACTGCATGAGCTAATCACGCAATCCACGCTCTGTCTCCGCCCGGCTCTAGAGAAGGAGGTTACCTTTGAAGTAATAACCTGACCCTTCACAATGACGAGTAAAATACGGCTATAATGGGAAAGGACATAAATGTTTAAGGAACACAGAGATCCTCTGAGTGAAGCTAGCATTGCACCATCATGATGATTTATCAAGTGCAGCATTCAGTTTTACTTATGAGAAAACTCTATAACAATTGATGAGAACATCGAGGAGGCGGGTAAATCCCAGAATTGTATTTAGGGTTTGGGATGGGCTCCTGTACGTGGGTGAGTCCAGCCTTTTCCTCAGCCTGCCCTCCATTGGCTCCAGCTGCATCCTATGCACAGGGCCTTACCCCACCTGGCGGGCGGGGGAGGTGCTGGGAAGCCAGGGGGCCAGCTCGGCAGCAGGAGATGCAGGGTGGGGAGTCACGTCACCTGGCCCTCAATGGAAGGACAGTCTGACTTTCTTTTCAGGAAGAAACGGAGACAGGTCCTCAGAGGTGAGGAGGGCAGGGAGCACCCAGAGCTGGGAGGAGAGTGCGGAGGAGGAGGTGGGGCTGAGCCTCATCCTGACCGCATGTGGGGGGATTTTACGAGCCTGTAGACGGCAGAACTCTGTCTTCCAAACACCGACTCAGGCTGGACACATGGAGAGGTCACGGGGACCCCGCCCTGGCTCTCAGACAGCAGTCTACCGCCTCCCCACGCTTCTGGGCCCAGGGCAGCCCTGACGCACATCTATTATGTGAGGACAACGCTGGCCGTCTGTCTGTGATCATGATGTCACTTTGTACTTTAATGAGGCACACGGTCATTTTTTGTTGCCATGACAACCGGCTGTTCTCTCTGCCATTCGGAGCTTGGACCACTTCTCATACATCACTCACTGTCATCCAGAGCGACACTGGACAGGCAAGGCTGGCCAGAGGGTCCTGTGTCGGGCACCAGGGTCGTGTGTAGGTGTCACTGGTCAAGGTGGGGGCCAGCCTGGCTGCCTATAATGAATTGGCTCATGTAATTAGGGAGCCCGAGGAAGCCCCAGGTCTGCAGTGGGCAAGCTGGAGACCCAGGAGAATGGCGATGTAATTCAGCCTATGTCTGCATCCAAAGGCCGAGACCGAGGTCTTTCTCACTCAGACTTCTACTCTATTCAGACCCCAGCAATTGGATGAGGCCACCGGTACCACGGACGGCCCTCCACTCCACTCGCCTCATCCCAAACACCGTCCCAGACACACCCAGAATCACGTTTGACATGTCTGGGTGCCCAGGAACCCAGCAAAGGGACACAGGAAGTAGCCATCACCTCTCCCTGTGCCTCCTGGTCTCCTTCTGCGGTGAGTGGAGGAGGGACCCCAGCCCCGTGAGCCTGGCCTCGCCTCTGCTCTGCATCTGGTTTTCCCTGACACACCGGGCAGGTTACTGCTGTCTATACGCCACTGGAAGGCAGGTCCACACAGCGGAGGAACCGGTAGGTTTGATCTCAGCTGCACCCACAGCACCCACAGGCACCACCCAGTGCATTTTTGTGAATGAATGAGTGAATGAGTGAATGAATGAATGATGCCCTGATACCTTCCGGCAAGGTAGGGGGGAGATCAGGACAGCATCTGCTGCGGAGCGCAGGGCTGGCTGCCTCTGCTGGGGCCCTGAGGTTGTCACTACGAGAGAATCGAGCGTTTCTCACACTAACAGGATTTCTACAGGTCTTACCCCTGTGGATGTTTCTAGGTCACATCTGCCCCCACCTACCGTGCACCCCGGCCAGGCCCTGGGTGCCATGTGGATGGCTAGCAGACACAGATGGAGCCCAGATTTTTGGGGGCAAGGGCTCCCCAGTACCATGATTACGGGGCCTCTGAGGGGTGGGGGTGGCTGTACCACCGTGATTCTGGCGGCTCCTCCTCACGGGGCCCAGCTTGTGGCACTCGCGTGGAGAAGTGCGGACATAAAGGTAACAATCCGTGCCACGCGTCTGGATGGCTCCGCTCCCCGGTAGCATTGCAGGCGGAGCGTAAATTGGATTTCCCGGGGCGCTCGCCTCAGCGGTTTCCACGCCTGTGGAAAGGCGAGAGGAGGCGGGCCTGACCCTCATTGTGCTGTGCGGGTTTGTGCTGGATGGCTCATCTTGACACCGAGTTACAGAAAAGTGGTGTCTCTTTCACCAGGAGCCTAGGGGCTGGGCCCCGGGTGCCAGGGCTCTGGAGCAGGTGCTGTCTCATGGGCCTGATGCCTCCCTTGTGTGCAGGTGGGTGTGGAGAACGAGAGCTAACAGCCCGATTATTCCCTGAGGTAGTGGGAGCAGCATCTCACTTACGGGTCCCCAGGGTGAGCCTGTGCATGTGGACAGGTCACCTCGTGTGGACAGACAGCCACCGAGGTCAGCACCAGTACACCAGGTCCCAGGTGGCGAGGCTGTGTCAGCACAGCCATCGATGGATGGCTTCACAGCAACCAAGACTGTGAGGAGAGCAGCGGGACATCCCCGTGGGTGCTGCTGCCAGAGGTCCCTCCACGTGGCCCGGGCGGGTGTGCCCACAAAGTGACAGAACCGAAGGGGTGGTCCTTGGAGGGATGCTCTGTGGGTTGTGAAAGGGCCTCTTCTGAGCCCTGTCAGGAGCTGAAGGGTCGTTTAAGTTTTTCCCTTTTTACCCGAGAGGGGGCAAGGCGGACTCCTCCGTGGCCTCCACATGTGTCTCTGTGGCCTGGACTCTGTGGCAGCCCGCTGGTGACAGTTTCTGCTGCCTGATTATGAGTCTTGGCATTAGCATCCTGGGATTCTTACTTGGATGGGGAAGCAGGTGGCTTGTCCCCTGCTCCTGCCCCACCAGCCTCTGCAGGGCAGGTCCCTGCTCCCGGGCAAGCCCTGTTTGTGGGACAGTGGACTTCTCATCAGCCTGTTGCCACCACAGGCCTCAGAGCAAATTGGTCCAAGTGAAAAATACATCCTATATATCAAAAGCCTAATATGCAAATCGACCAAACAGCGGACCGATCAGTCGCTATGATGCGCACTGACCACCGGGGGGCAGATGTTCAACACAGGGCTCACAGCTGGCGAGTGCAGCTCTCCTGCCTCCGCAGCAGCGCTAAGGAGCAGCCAGCCGAGCGGTAAGGAGTACTGAGCAGTAAGGAGTGAGGGCTCCCAGACCGGGAGAGGGTGCAGGCTGGGCTGAGGGACCCCCCACACACAAATTTCATGCATTGGGCCTCTAGTTATTTATATGATGGAATACGGAGCAAAGTGACTAGACTCACTTGGGTCTGCAACACGGACACACTGGACGCTGGACCATTCCTTTCATGAGAAACACCCAAACAGATGCTCAAATATGATTCCATACACAAGACAATGATCACAAACTTCCCCTTTGGCCGGAGAGGTGATGGACCCTAAGGAAGACGCAGGTGAAGGAAGACTCACCGCCTGGCACAGGATGGGGTACTTGGTGCGGTTGATGCCCCCGGCGAACACGGTGAAGGTCAGGGCTGCGTGCAGGCAGAAGTTCAGGAGCGTGTGCCTGCCCTTGCGGCTGATCCGGATGGCGCTGGGGAAACACAGGTGTGTCGTCAGGAACCCGCCCCTCAGCAGAGTGGGTGTGAGCCCTTCACCTGCGTCTGTCCATGTGGGAACCGGGAAGACCTCTGGACAGAGAGACATACCCCAAGGACCAGATCAAGAGAAAGACGGACAGCCACCCTCAGTGTGTGGCTGGTGGGGTTCGGTGTTAAACCCCCCTGGAGCACGAGGCCTGGAAGGGTTTTTGAGAAATCTCTTATAACCTTGAGGAGGCTGTGACAGTGACCAACTACACGGCGACCCCTGTCGCCACGCGGGCACTGGACTCGGACGCTGCCTATGGCTGTGACCACACCTCATCCCTGGCTACGGCCGTGACTGTGATTCCCTAGCTATGCTGACAGCTGTGCCTGTGGCCACAGCCCTCCGTGGCCATGTTCCCACCCCACGTCTCTTCCCATGATGGTGGTTCTGTGGTTATGCCACGGCCCAGGCTTTGCCCATGACTCGCCTTGTGGGCTGAACCCTGACCATGGCCGAGACTCCTCCTCACATTCCCCAGGGCATCCTCGAGTGATGGGGACACAGCCAGGTTGTCTCCTCACTCCCAGGCAGAGGAAACCAGCTCAGAAGAGACCTGACTAGAGTCTCCTTTCTAGAAAAAAAAATGCAGATGTGCCTGAGGGTCTGCCGGCTGCTCCAACTTCCCAAGGACGTGGGCCCTCGGGCGCCTGAGCAGACGCTGTGCTGTCGGAGGAAGAACTTACTTCACCTGATTTGATAAGAACATGGACACCGGGGATGGAGGGGCATGGCTGTCCCTGACCGTCGGCGAACCTCGGTCACCCCCAGGGCCACCCAGGCTGGGCAGGCTCAAGCTGGCCGGCCATCTGTGAAGTGCCTTCCAGGGACTTCTTGCTCCGTGAGGGTAGGAGGTCTCACTTTGGGGTTTGCACTAGGCGGGGAGGCGGGGCGTCTCAGGGCAGAGTGGGGCCTCACCTCTGGTGCATGAGGTAGGTGATGACGGAGGCGAGGAGGCAGAGCAGCATGACGGCCGTGCAGGCGTACACCACGGGGTGCAGGAACTCCCCTGGGTGCTGGGGCAGGGAGAGGACACTCTTCAAATCCTGGAAGGAACAGAGAGCAGACCCAGGTGAGCAACGTGGCTGAGAACCTGCACGTGTGGCAGAGCCACGGGAGCCTCCCGAGCCCAGCCCCTCCCTGCAAGTCCCTGGAGGCATTCTCTGAATCAGGGGACGTTTGCCGGGTCTCAGCAGAAGGAGGCGCCCTGCCAGGGAAGACCCTGCTCAGGTGAGCGCTCAGCAGGTGGAGCCACGCCTCATGGGCTGCCCACGAGTGGCTTCACCCTGTAGGGGCGGCCCAGCTGGCCATCTTCATGGGGCTCGGACAGCCCTCAGTGGGTTTTCCCCGTGACTGATCCCATCAGCTGCTGCCTTGACAGCAGAGAGACCTCACACAAAAGCCAGTGGATGCCAGGGGGACTCTTCGTGGTCTGACCACCAAGGGACCTGGTCGGCAATTGAGGCCACAAATAGTGCCCTGGCCCAGAATAAGAAGATGACCAGACGTGACAGAGGGAGGGTGCTGTGACACTCCACAGACCGCGGGCCGGACACCACGGTGGCACCCACGCTTTGGTCCGCACTGTCCATGGACTGGGACGTCTGAAGGGCAGGTGTGCACATGCACAGAGCAGCAATGACTCCCAGCAGCCTGGCATGGGCTCCAGCAGGACACATGCTGTGCCCTCGTCCAAATCCCCACTAAACCGTGAGCTCAGGAATAAGACGGCCAAGAGGTGCCAGCCTCAAGGTGACAGGGACACCCCGGCTGCAGCAGCGGCACTATTCAAGATGCAGAGACATTTCGTGAGGGTGCGCCCAGGCTGGGTTCACAGGCCGGAGGTCACCCCGCCCTCGGGCGCTTCCTCCTCCTCTGAGCGCCCAGGGTTAAGGCTCCCCTGGCACTGAGGACTGACCCCGAGCAGCGGCAGCCACAGTGAGTGTTTATAAGAAACAATCAGTTCCCTTTGGCCTCCTCTTTTTTCCTTTCTCCAAATCAGAGTTCTCAACAGTGCCTTTCTACATTTTTAGAGGTGACATTTAAAATTCAAAGTAGGCAATGCAAAGCGGAGACATACTTTATATTTTAAAGTTCACACATGTACAAGTTCCTCCTGGAGGAATCGGCTTTGCCAGTGTTCCACAAGCAGGTCCTGATAGTTGTTGGTATGTGGTCAACAGAGCTGGACCGACGTCCCTGGACAAGTCCCCCTAGGCCAGGGCCCCAGCAGTGCCCTTTGGACCAGCAACCGTGGGCAGAGCCCCGACCTCACAGCAGAAAGACTGGGGAGCCCCGAGGGGAGGATGAGGGACCCCACCCGCTCACTCCCATGGCAGTGGGGGCTGTGATTCCTGGTCACTTCTGGGCCTGCAGGACCAGGAGCTGTCTCTTCTGAGGCTACCGGCGTGCATCCTCCCAGGCGGCCTCTTTTCTCTATGGAGCTCAGGCCTGGACTGCGGGTTTGTTTGCTTTCCTATTTCTTGAGGCATGAGTTCCTTTTACACTATATTATTCTTAGTTGCGTGTATCCTTTTGGTATGTTCTGCAAACCAAATAAATCAGGATGTTAAGAGCAGGAGGAAAGGAGGAGGGAGTCAGTTAGGTCGCGTGCCACTTGTCTGATCAAAACATCACCCTTTAGTTGGGAGTGACACATGGCCAAGGGGCCTATGCTAGCCACGGACGCAGACCTATGTGTGTGCAGACCGTGTGTGCACCCGGTCCTCTCGGCGAGGCGTCCACAGGCCGGGGGCATGTGAGACGTCCTTCCTTGCGGTTCTGTTCCGACCAAGGCTGATTTCATTAGCGCCTGCTGTCCCTTGTCGCCTTTTTAATGATAATTGCTTCTTATTGATCTGTCAACCTTTCATCAAAGTGTTCCCGGGGGAAAGGCAGAGGAAAAAGATAAGTAATTTATTCATTCGGAGCACAAATTACCCTAATTGGACGTTGCATTTACATGTTTGTTACGTTTCCTTTTGGAGGCGTGTGGGCTGGTCGGCTTCAGAGAGCTTCAGGGAGAACAGTGAGAAGCGTCTTGGGGACGCACCTTCTGACTGGGCGTCACTTGCTTAAGGGGGTGACACTCTCCAGTTGCAGACTGGAGGCCGTTTCAGGAGTGTTTAGAAGTGTAAATAGCGGACAGAATTGAAAGCACAAATGGAGAGCACTCACTGAAGCCAAGTGTCTGCAGCATCCACGCCGCTCTTCTAGGCGAGGCTGGAGGTGCCGGCCTTTGGGTGGGGTGGGGTGGGGGGGGAGGTTCCCAGGCTTGGCCTGGAGGATGCATTTGGAGTGGGAGCGACCCCCTGCACCTGCTGTCCAACCGGCGACTGGGCGACTGAGCGCTGGGAGCGTCCTGAGCGGCACTGGGCCCAGGTCCTCGGCTCGGACAACCGGCGGTTCCCTCCCTGTTGGCCTCCCCAGCACCCTGCCTGGTGTCTACCCCGATCTCTTTGGGGGTTTTAATTCCCTTGTTTGAATGTGGGGTACAACTGTGGGGAAAAAGGGCATCGTGAGCGTGCCACGTGTCTCTACTCCAAGCACGGCCGGAGCGGGACTGGCCTCTCGCCCTGTCCTGGCTTCAGGGCTCTTCCGGACGTCCCTGAGCATGCTCCAAGGACACTGATTCCAGCCCTGAATTCAGAGCATGTGGGGGGCTCCGCTGGGGTGTGCATGAGAGCCCCAGCCCTCCTGTTGTGGCGCCTCCTGGGCCAGGACCATCCAGAATGACCAAGTGGCCTTTGTGCCACTGGAACCTGCAGGTCAGTGACGGGAGCTCACCCTCCGCACGACCTGATGCTACTGTGACTGGAGGCGCCAGCAGGCGGCTGGACCACCCACGCCAGGCCTCTCCCTGCAGCCACTGCCGCCCAGAGCCCTCAGCCGGGCCACTGACCCTGCTCCTCCTGTGGCTTCTCTGGAAGGAGACAGACAGTGCAAAGGTTTGGACAACCTTTTACTCTACTTCCAAAGCCGGCCACTTTGTTCCCTGAGAGGCGGTCCCCTCGCTCAGGGTGAAGGTCACCGAAGATTATAGGACACAAAGTAATGAGCACGTGGAACCTGCTTGCATTGGAATCCCAATTGCAGCAGCCAGGGACAGGCCAGCCCACGTCTGCTCCGTGTACTAGCAGTTGTGATGAAGATGTGGGGTGGCAGCGGCCTGGGCTTCAGGTGCCAGACGCAGGCCTCCCTGGGGCAGCACCTGGGTATTCAGACCCTGTCTGAGCGCTGGACAGACAGTAGCACCTCCTGGCACCATTCTGAAAGGAGGTGTGGGCCCAGTTTGCCTGCCCAGAGACGCCTGGAACTCAGTGCAATTGAACTTCAGTGTGTGGCCGAGGAAACATGGGATCCAGGAGGCAGCTTGATGACCGCAGGTGTTAGGGAGGCCCGGGCCCCGCAGGAGCTGCACGTGTGGCCAGAGGGCGGCAGCCGGGGGCAGACAGGGGCAGGCCACCCTGTTGCTGGGCCTTCAGGCTTCCCTCCGATGCCCCGAGCCACAGGATGAGCCTGCCCAGCCGTCTGCACCACAGACTCAGACACACACAGAAAAGTGCTCTCACCTGAACTGTCACCCTGCATGTGAGGCTGGGCATTCTCCTTTCAGAAACTCTCTCCAATGTAAATGTTATTTATTAAGACAAAACCCCAACAAACTGCTGAAACCCAATCGCTGTGGGCAAGGCTAACCGGGTGGTTTTCAGTGTTGGATGGGCCGGCGTTCTGGCTGAGACCAAGGCACCATGGGCAGACCCCGCCCCTGAAATGGAGAGCGAGTGTATGGAAGGGCCGAAGCATCAGAGAGGAGGCAAAGACAGGCAGCGGTCACCTGTGGCGGCCCTGAAGGGCAGTGCTGGGTACCTGCCAGCCCCCCTGCCAGCTCACCTGCCCTCCACCAGTGACAGGTTCCATTGGCACATGGGGATCTACATTTGAGGAAGGAAAGCTGGGGATGCTGCCACCCGGGAGGCCACAGCCATGTTGGGTGTGGCACCTGCGGGCAACAAGTGAGCTGGTGGGAAGCTGGGGGCCGGGCCAGGCAGCCCGCCTCTCTGAGGAAGCAGCCTGTGTCCAAAACACGCAACCTCTCTGCTGTCTGAAAGGCGAGTGCCTGGCGTCCGTCCAGCTTCCGAGGCCCGGGGCAGCCTGGGAGGGAGGCTGAATTCCGGAGAAAAGCATCTCTCTCATTCGGACATTTCTAACGAAGAGAAAATGAACAGGGGACTCAGACTGACCACTCCTGAGGAAGCAGACCACCAGGTCTGCATTTGGGACTCATTGTTGGGGTCAGTGCCACGGCCGTCGCTGGCTGCACTGTCCTCTGGTCATCAGCATTCCCTGCACGTGCTCTGCCGGCTGTCACACACACACACACACACACACACACACACACACACACACTGCATTATTCACTCAGCATCAACCTTCCGGAGTCCGAACTGGCAGCCGCCACAGCGAGGCACACACGAGTCCGCAGGCTGAGCCCCCACATCCCCGGGCTGCTCACAGCAGCCGCCCCCCTTTGCTGGGGAGAGAAACACCCCCGTGTTTGCTGTACGTGCCGCTGAAGCCCACCCACGTCCCCCTATGGTCCTGCCAACTTTCTGCAGGCAAGAGGAGGGCAGAGCTGCAGTGGGAGGGGCCCGGGCCGGAGGCCAGGGAAGGTGCTCAGAGGCCCTGGAGCCGACCGGGGTGGGGGCGCGGGGCGGACGTCTCCTCCACCGATGAAATGATTCAACATTGCGGCATGCCATCAACTAATTAGTATGATCCTCCCGAGCAGCCAGGCAGGCGGCCTGGAAACAAATGGCCACCCCCCGCCCTCAGCCCCCTCCCCCGCCCCCAGGACTCTTGGGCACAGGCACAGCATATGCCTGGCTGCGGGCTAGCTGACCACCTGAGGACTCAGTTTCCTGGCTGGGGCCTCTGTGCGCAGGGTGGCCGCCCTCGACCTGGCCCCCCCTGGCCCCTGAGCATGTGGACTCACCATGAGCACGTGAAGTTACTGAAGGGTGGGCGCCCGGATGCAGATGGTGTCCCCGTGAGCCAGCTATGTCGCGCCTTTCTCCCCGCCAGCCTCCATGGCCGTCTAGAAGGTCAAGGTTCCAAACAGCGGCCACAGGGTCAAGCCCCAGGCTACGGGCCTCAGGGCGACTCTGGTGGGGCAGGTGAGGGTGGAGAGGCTGCACCCACCTGTGAAGACAGGGCCTGGTCAGGGCAGGGGAGGGCCCCCCTGCCGCCCTCTCCCCCCACAGCCCCAGCACCTCCCAGGGTTGCCCCATCTCGGCTGCTCTCAGCCCAGCCAGCCTGTGGACTCTGACTCCGGCCTCCATCTGCCAGGGGCATGCCGAGGGCCCGGGGACCACCTGGGCTTGGGAGCCTGAGGGGCCCTGGCCAAAGGCACTGGCAGCCAGACTGCCCTCCAGGGAGCACTTCCTTCTGCACATTTAAAAAGCAACCCATGCTCGCCACCCAGCACAGGAAACTAAACTCACCGAGCTGGATAACAAGTCTGTCAGCTTAAGTCAAGAGAATCCAGTAAACCTTGAATGCATCTCCAAAGAACAGCCAGCCCCTGGCAGGTGGATGGAGCTGGACTCAGGGGCTGGCTGTTTGCTCCCCACACAGACACGGATTTTGGCTGTGGCTTGGTGCCCTCAGCTTAACCCAAAGTTATTGGGAATCTGCATTTCCAGGAGCAGGAATCGCCTCACCCGGGTTGGCACTGATGCCCGAGAAACGGTGGAGAACGGGCTCTGTGGGCAGCGGGCTCCCACCTTGCCTCCCCCACCTCCTGCCGCTTCCCGGCCCTCAGGTCCACCCACTGCTCAGACCCTGAGACGCGATACCCAACTTCTCACCTATTTTGGCAAAAACAGCTGGAGGGGCAACAGCACGGTGCCTGTTGCCGGGGAGCCACCGCGAGCTCGCCGTGCAGGGGAGCAGGTCTCCATTCCCGGGGCCCGTGCGCCCCGCTCGCCAGCAGAGTTATCAACAGATTGCAGGACTGCAGCCGGGGACGTGAGTCAGAGCCAGGACGGCAGACATGCAGCGCGATTCTCAGCACGCAGCTTCCAGAACTGGTGAGGAACGCCAGCCGCCTCTGCGCTTGCTTCCGCCGGCGACAGCCAGGGAAGAGGACCGGCGGGAAGCAGGAGCCGTAACCATGGGGATGGGGGAGGCGGATGGCGGCGCTGTGGCCGGCTCCCTGCCGCAGGCTGGGAATGGTTCTTCCCGTGCCCATCACACTGCAGAGCCGATTTAAAGAGACAACCGGCCAGGCTCTGCCTTCGCTCCCAGCAGCGTCGGACAACTCACCTGGAAACGTCTCCCTGAACCGAGGCAGGAGGACTGGCGATTTTATTTAAAGAAAAAAGCTCTGTTCGTGGAGGGCTCCACAAACAGAAATGAGACCAGGAAATCGATTTGGGAGGAATTTTCATAGTCCTTGTGTTAAAACATCATGAATCCAAACATGTGCAGACAGAGGTGGACCCACAATGAGTCCTCCCAGCGTGAGTCAGCGATCCTGCTGGTGTGCTCAGCCCCACAGCCCCTGCCCCTTCCAGGCCCCAGGCCCCAGCCCCCAGCCCCAGACAGAGCGGGCCAGGGGAGGGAGGAAGTGGGGTCCTGTCGGCAGCGAATTGGACCTGCCCAAGCTTCCGGGTCTGTACTCAGCTCATGGGAACCTGGAGGGGAGCCCATCACTCTTCTCTTCAATCTAGAAGGCGGTAACCCCGCTCAGGGGTCCCAGGTCCCTGCTGTCCCGAATTTTGAGGGTCCTGATTTTATTTTATTTTTTTAAACGTATTTTTATTTATTTCAGAGAGGAAGGGAGAGGGAGAGCGAGCGCGAGCTAGAAACATCAATGATGAGAGAGGATCATTGATCGGCTGCCTCCTGCAGGCCCCACATTGGGGATAGAGCCCACAACTCAGGCATGTGCCCTGACGGGGAATCAAACCGTGACCTCCTGGCTCATAGGGTGACATTCAACCACTGAGCCACCCCAGCCAGGCTGAGGGGCCTGATTTTAATGGTGTCATTAAGAATATAGGAATTTGCCCTGACCGGTTTGACTCAGTGGATAGAGCGTCGGCCAGTGGACTGGAGGGTCCCGGGTCCGATTCCGGTCAGGGACATGTGCCTTGGTTGCGGGCACATCCCCGGTAGGGGGTGTGCAGGAGGCGACTGATCGATGTTTCTCTCTCATCGATGTTTCTAACTCTCTATCCCTCTCCCTTCCTCTCTGTAAAAAATCAATAAAATATATTTTTAAAAAAAGAATATAGGAATTAGAGGGGTTCTGTGCTCCGGCTCCCCGGCCTCATGGCACCCTGCCTCTGAGTGGGGTGCTGCCAGCGCTTCTCTGTGGAACTCTGCGGTAAGTCCTAAACCTCAGGCGAAGGCCTGAACCCCAGCGGTGAAGTGCCTTTCCTGGTGCCCAGGGAGTGGGTGTTAGCGGGGAACTTCCTAGGCTGGTTCCCCAGGCCTGTGGGGCAGTTGGAGCTCCCTGGGGGCCCAGGCCTGGGGACAAGAGGGGCAGGGAGGGAGGTGGGGAACCCACTCTGAACTAGGGGATTTTGCCCAGACTCCCCCAGGCGGGGGTGGTCCCCATGGTGCTTCTGCCCCGATGTCCCGTCCACTGCCGCCCCCTCCATCAAGACTGTCCAGGTACAGGGTACAAGGTGAATGGGTCAACCCCTCACTGCCCTCAGGGGCTCCCCGCCCAGAGATGGCAGAAAGCCAGGAGTGAATAGCCCACCAGGGGCTCAGCTCCCCAGTATGGCTTGTGCAGTTTGGAGGAGGGGACAGGTGCTGGGGCATCCACCTGGGACTCTGCTGTCACCAGCTGTTCCCTCTGCTCTGTGCACAGCGTTGTGTGCTGTCCCAGTGATGTGTCCTGGCCTCAGAGCAGGGGGCCAGGACCAGAACCAGGGCTTCCCAAATCCCGCAGAAGTGGCTCTGGGAACACACACAGAAGAGGCTGTTAGGAGGGTAAGGTGAGCAGCCTGCCTTGGCCTCCCTAATGCCCTGGGTCTCCACTTCCTCTTTGGAAAGGTCAGCTTTCTGGAACATTCTATGAATGCAGGAGTCCCCACTGAAGTCTTTGCACTGCAGGTGTAGGTGTTCGTCAACAGGACAGGCACCTGCGACCTCTGGGACATCAGGGCCCTGACCTTGCGCAGTAGCCGATGTCATCTGTCCCTCTGAGGGAGGTCATTCGGACACAGGGCTGGCTGGCCGATGGCTTTCTGCCACGGGGTGCTGGGCCCTGCTGAGGCTCAGCCGGGGCTGGGTGCTGTGGGCCCCACCTGGTGAGGGGACAGAGTAGCCAGCTGCCCCTACAGGGCCGGAGGGCGGAGCCCTGGTCCCCGCATCCAGGACATGTGCTTGGGAGCCGGGTTTCTCTCTGCCCCTCCTGGCTTCTGCAGGCTGTTGGTGGGAGAACAGGAGACGTCTGGGCAGCACGCAGGCCTCTCGGCGGATGGAATCAAAGACCAGACCAAGGGTCTGGAGTGGTCAACACAGTGACTGAGCGTCACTGCATGGGTCAGGGACGCTCAGGTGCCATCTCCCTGTCTCCCACCCCGTGCATGGAGGGAGTTCTCTACAAACGCAATGTCTCTGGAACGAGAATAGCCTCTGCTGGGCCGCTGACATCTCAGGCCGGACTTGCGTCTTTTCTGAGCATTTTAGTCAGCTTTGGAGTTGCCTCATTTCTAGCCATTGTGTGAGATTCTGAGACCGGAAATCAGGAGACGCCCCCTGGTGCTGGAGGTGACCTTGCCGCGCGCGTGCAGCCTGGCCCCCGAGGGCACGGGACGCGAGGCTGGCCTCCGTGTGCGCTCAGCATGCGTGGCTCACAGAGTGGAATTAAAGCCGGGTCTCCGGTTGCCATGGCAACTAGCTGTCTTTCTCCCCTCTCCGCGGTGTCAGTTTGAATTTGTGTAGACCATTTCTAACAAAGATTTGTGCCAACAAATTCATTCAGCCCTGAGGTGAAGCCTAGTTTGAGAAGCAAATAATAAAATTAACAAAACTTAGAATGTTCCGACGAGGGCTTTCCATTTGTAACGTGCTTGTCAGGGCCCCAGGAGAAGCCAGGCCCTGGTCCAAGGCCACGGGGAGGTCAATGAGGTATTTTGTGCAGCTTCTCGTTGGCCATTTGCGGCAAATGGACAACTTTAGGGGTTTGGGGGCCCCTTCAGAATGAGGGTCTCAGAGGGGTTTCACCTGAAAGGCTTTGCCTGGGGCCTGTGTGTGCGTGTGTCCCGCCGGCTCTCCAGGCACGTCAAGGCTCATGGGTCACGGGCACGGGCCTTCTTTGTCAGGGCTGAGTGGGCCCCCCATGGGCTCTGCAGGCCACAGGGTCAGGCTGGGCATGGGGCGGAGTGGTGACTGCATGGTGAGTGCCCAGTGTTCGTCCCGGGCGCTTTGAGGCCTGGCCCGCCTTCTGCAACCTTCAGGGCCCATCAGAAGGGCCACTCTGAGGAGACGCTTGAAGGGAGAGGACGAGAGTGGGCTACACAAGAAGACACCCTGAAAGCTAAGAATGTCCCCATTTCTCCTTTGTTCTTTCTGGCCTTTCCCAAGTGGTTAGTCCATTTTTATTCCCTTCCTCCCACAAATCACATTTTCTCTTCTCCTTCTTAGTCCTCAGACCCTCCTGGAGCCCAGATCCCCGGCTCTGTCCTTCAGGGGAGGCGTTAAATGAATATCAGGGGATGGTGAGGGGCCGCAGGTGAGTGAGCAGGGTAAGTGATGGGAGCGGGTGTGTAAGGGGCCCATCTTGTGGGGTGGGGTGGGGGTAGGGATCTTGGACCACTTTCCTCCTCCTCGGGCCTCTTCTGAGCAGGATCCTGAGGGGTGCAAGGTGGGCTGGGGCCCAGTGTCCACCACCCAAGGATGGGACTGGAGGGGTGGCGTCCAGCCCTAACAAAGTAAGGATGGAGGGAGACCAGCTGCTCGGGAGCTGTCCACGGTGCTGCCCAGAACCCTGCTGCTCTCACCCACCTGCTGGACACGCCCTCCCTCCAGCTGGGGCCTCCTGGCTCCATCACCTCACCCTGTCTCACCCATGTGGCCCTGCCTGGGCTGGCCCATCAGACAGGGTCTGGCTCAGATGCTTCCGCTGTCCTTGCCGCTGCCAGTCGGTTGCCTCCTGCCTGGTTCCTGCCAAGGCTTCTGGCATTTGGGCCAAAGCAATTTTACCAAATTAGATGTGGTCCAAAGCAAGTGGCTCCACCTGGCAGTTTTGTAAGAGAATGCTTTGTTTGAAATTTAGCATTCCCAGGTCACCGGTTTCTGGCATCAGCACCTCCAGCACAGCACACTTCACATTGCAAGGCGCTTCTTCCCTCTTCAACATATCCTTGCGCCTAAAAAAAAAAAATCCATATGTTAAGTTTCTAACCATGTTTCTCCCTGTTATTCTGGCTTTGAGCTGTTGGAACAACAGGGGTTTGCAACATGGTAACCTCTAACATAGGGGCGGTCGGAGGAGCTCCCACCGTCACCTGGTGACTGGTCCACACTTCACAGCAAGTAGGCCAGCAGACGCGTGTGCAAGCCCTTTACACGTGCATGTGAGTATGAGCAAGAGTGTGTGTGACAGTGGGCAATAGCGCGCATGTACATGTGTGAGTGTGATCACGTGTGCACATACACGTGCACACATGCACACAGGTGTAATTATGTGTGTGCATGCGTAGACATAAATGTATATACATACGTGAATGTGCATGTGTGCATGTGACTATGCATGTGCACATGTGCACTGAGACCACCTAGAAGAGGAGGGAGTTGGGTTGGTGCCCGACCGGGACAGGATCATGGATTTTGGTCACCTTATTTTTTTGTCTCCATCTTTTCAGATCTCACTTCCTTGACTATGTATTGTTTCCTTGTAAAGAAAACCCCCAATAAAATCAGTTTAAAAAAATAACAAACAATATGAAATGTTTATAGTTGTGACATTAGGTTTTTTTTATTAGTAGTGGTTATTTGTTTGCTGCACTATTTGCCTACATTAAAAGGCAAGATAAGAAAAATCACTAAGATTAAATACAAACAAAAAATATCAAGAAACAAAAAAGCGAACTATTTTGAAAAACAGAATCAAAAGGAGAAAAAGCCTTGAATTCTGA